ATCCTGATCCATTCTTGTCTATTCACCTAGGAAACAACTATCACATGCTGAGAAGGCATGGAAGTTCAGTTAATTTTTTCAGTTCCACAAATATCCATCCTTTTTCTTCTGTAGCAGTGCCAGACAATTTTGATCTTACAGTTCTTCAGCTTCGGTGAGGTTGGCTGAAAACAGCTTCAGTTTATGGCCAAGGAAGACAGACACTTGGTCAAATGTTTAAAGCTTGTGGCTATCTGAGACTGTTCTTTGTCAAAGGAAAAATTAATAACCTAACAAAAAATAAAGGGAAGAATAGGACATACATAAGCAAGGAAAAAAGCTTAAGGAAATCACTAACCAAAAACAGGCAGATTGTGTCCTGTAAAAATTTAGAACAGACTTAATATCACATATGTTGCATATTAACAAATTGTATCTGAAATATATTTATTTATTTACTGTTTGTAGGTACCAAAATATATGATGCTTATGCTAAAATTGGATCATTAATCTTGCAATCTTGTTGCCTTTCATTTTGTAAGAGATCAGAATTTCTTTGGATGTCTCTCTTTCTTTGTGAGATGAAAACTTAATATGGCTGGCCAATCTCCCCTCCCCACCCACCTTTTACCCTCCATAGCATCAGTGTCATTCTTAGGGTAGGATGAGATTGCCTAAAATAAGAAATAGATTGGCTTTTTTGATCAAAACATGAAAATCCAAACATTTTGTAGGATTAAAATATATTTTTATATCTAGATACCTTGTCTTTTCAGCAATCTCTCTCAAATAATTTATCAAATCTGAAATCCCTCTCAATGAGAACAGGTCTGATAATCTTTGGAAGGAAGCTGCAGTCTCCAGAGCTTCTAGGTTTCAGGGATTCTCTTGGGTCATGGTGAGGATAATGCATTTTGTGGTATATGTGCTCCAAGACAGTCCTGGAGCAAGCTTCATTGATGGAAACCTCAGAACGCAAACTCAGTTACCTTATGATACAATGACAAGAATATTGATTTAAACTGGCTACATCTTTCTCTCTGTCTCAGTTAGGAAGGAGCCAAATGATTAAAAAATCTGGGATCCGTATAAGTGTAGCCAAATATGCTGCTTTTTCTTTTGCAAGAGAGAAGATTTTGGACAGAAATGGCTAAAATTGTCTTGACTTTCTTATCTGCTTTTCTGTCTTGTTCTACCACTCTGTAATTCCCATCCCATCTTTCTCTTGAGAAAGTCAAAGCCCCAGTTATTTCTTCAGGCACTCTGCTTTTACAAAGTTTGGTGAAAGCTTTGAAGTAACAGAAACAACACCTTGCGATTTAGGTGAGTGAACACTTGCATTTGATGAATGGTGAATCCTCACCACCTCAGACTGCAAACACTCTGATGGTTCTACACACACACACAAGCTGAACAATTAGTAACAGTAAAAAATGTTGTGCAATTCAGGAGAAAGGAATCATTTGTTAGGGACTTGACTGTTTCTTTAATGTGCCGAATGCACAGGGGCAGGAAGTGGTTTCCTGTGCTTCCCCTGCCTGTTCACCTAGGATTCAACCATGAATCATAGGTAGCCCTGCTTTGTGGCTCTGTTCTCAAACCTGCCTATCATGTATGGTTTCTCCCCTGCCTGTATTTCAGTTGCTTCATTTGACTTTGGTGGGCTGGTGTGAGTATGTCAGCTCTTTCTCTTTTGTGATATAGAGTATAATGGATTCTTTATCAGAGGTGTAACATGGTAAGTTGGTACCCAGGGCATTGGCAGCACATGGAGCAATGCTGATTCCTATGCTGCACAGTGAGTTGTCAGCTGCAGTCATAGCTATTTTTGCACCCTTCCCCCCAAAAAGCAATACCTCCCCCCTCTTAATTGTGCTACTGTTCCTTACTGTCTCTTTTGCATTTGAACCTGGAGATTGCTATGCCTCTGGGTCTTATTGCTCATTTGTCCTTGATACAATGGGTAACTAGAGTATGTTTCTGGTGTTGATGACTTAGATCACCTGCCTTAGATGAGATATTGGTAACAGAACACAGATCAGTGCATTTCCCACTGATGTTAACTATCAGGAGTTGATCTTCTCAGTCAAATAATGCAATTCTTAACCCATAGAACTGACTGCTTTAAATCAAGACTTCAGCAATAACTAGTTACTTTGGGAGCTCAAATTTTGGTTGCCCAACTTAGAGAAACCTTGAAAAACAGGTTATTTCTAAAGTTCCCATTTCAAATTAGGTACCCAGGTTAAAGCTTTAAATTAGGTACCTAAAAGTAGTAGTTGATTTTTAAAAAAAAAGCAATAGCCCTGAATCGTGAAAAGGACCCTCTCTGATGTCCTGAAAACTTTCTAGCCCTCTTTAGGTGTACAGACAACCCCTTTTAACTGGTTCCTGAAAAATTGAGCATTAAGCAAAATGACCGTTAAGCAAAACCAAAAGTAGTTGACGACCCAAGATGGTGACTGCAAGTGTTTTTAATTAAAGTGTCACTGTCTATACTTGCAGCGGTATTAGCAGTAAATGTATTAACTCTGTCATAAGATAGTACTGTCAGGGGGTAATTTACAGGACTGAAACACACATGCAGATGCTGACCGCAGGTGTAAATTGCACCTGGTCAGCCCAGCCAACTGGGGGCCTGCTTTACTCCAGTTCAAATTGGTGCTGTCCCAGGTGCACAAGTAGATGCTGCATCTGGGAGCAGTTTCCTATGGCTTAAATGGTGCCAGAGTTTGTTGCATTGTATTAATTGCATGTGTAGGTACACTCTCTGAGTAGGAATCACAGGGGCATTTGTCATCTTTTCTCTGCCCTCATTATAGAATTTTATCTTCTATAAAACTCATATATGGTTTCATAGAAATTACAATTAGCTTTGGCAGGTACTATGTCTGTGACTCTATTAGTCCTGGACCCAAATCAGAGAAGAAATAAGTGTGTCATACCCCAAAATTAGAAATGATAAAATGATAAAAACAGAGAGGGAAATGGGGTTAGAAATATTTGTTCTGGGTAGAATTCAGAAAAGTCTCTGACCTCAGCTTTCTTGCCTCTGGAGAGGACAAGGCTCTCAATTTGATTATGAGAAAGAGTCAAAATGCAATATAAAAATGATTCCAAATATCTGTTGCCAGGAAGCAGATGACATACTAAATTGCTTTGCAGATTGAGAGCTTAATTCAGAGATTTCCTGTGATGGGAGATGCCGCCAGTGTACAGCCATTTTGTCTTTTGTGGCAAATTGACTGCTTTTGGACGGCTGTCTCCAGTAGTCTCTCCTACGCTTCCTGTTGTAGGAAGGCCTGTTTCCTGCAGTGAGATTCCTGATTAGACTCTGAACTATTTTAGTCTGAAAAGGGCTATATAACAGGTTGGTTCTTTGCATTTGATACTGATTTGTTGTAAGCAAAGCCAAATCACAGTTGTACCACAATAGAACATCTGATTCCTTTGTGAAATCTAAAAAGGGCCATGGCTAAATTAAAATAATTGATGCTTAAAGTAGTATTCAGGTGTGCAGCTAAGACTCCGTTATTCATATATTTTGAGAGAGGTTTTTTTCTCTGTTTGTTTTGGTAACCAGGGACTATCAGCTTCTGGCTACATTTTCAATGCATCTGCTAAGGCTGGTTGCCCAACTTGAAATTTCCCATGAGCCCATGAGGCCCCATTTTACAGAGTTGCTGAGCAGCCCCAGTCCCCTGTAGTTTCCTTTCTCTGTACTTGAGCCCCTGTAAAATGGGGGTACCAGTGCTTCCTTTCTCCCACATGTTCTTCTGTCTATTTTGGCTTTTCATCTCCTTGAAGCAGGGATTAGCCTTTACTGGGCATGTGTACAGATGTCGCTACACCGCTGTTGTTACTGCACCATCATTAACTACTTCCAAAAGGGTGTACTTTTGGAAGTATTAAAGGATGGCACAGTAACAGCCTGTTCCAGCCATGCTGGCGGTGCAGTTATTTTTAGCAGCTACATTGCTGTAGCAATGCTATAGCAAGGGAGTATGTTGGTAAGGTGACTTAGCTGCGGCATCACAGTTTGTGTCCACTGACATTATATCACTGTAGCACAGTGCTATGTAGGCATAGCGTCTCGTGTTGACATATGCCCGCTGTGTCTGAACAATAGTACCAAGGAAGGCTGGTTACAGTTTCTAGAAGCTATGATAGTACAAAAGGTAATGATGATAAAGAGGCCTGTACTAGTTACTGGCTGTGGTATGGACAGATATACACTACAGGGACTAGAATAAGAATGCACTTAATTGATTATGCTTCTGATTGAATCCAGAGGTAAAGGACTAGTATGTTCATTAACTGTGTCCCATTTTCACTTGCTGTTCCCTTACCTATTTCTCTCACTGCCAGGAGGATTCCTACATGCCTGAGCATGGTTTCTCCTTTGCTATAATGGACCATATGGTAGCCATAGTTGGCTTCTCAAAGACAGTGGTTTCAAGACCGCAGACGGTTCAGGAGGATGGGCTTTCTATTTTCATCCTGCTTCAATTTTAGTCATCTTATTTGTTGCTATATACTCTGTTCTCTCCAGAAAGCAGTGCTCATTCATTTCTTGCCCTTCTGGCTCTCAAGGCTTTGGAAAGGTATCAGTGAAGACAGTATATCATGGATTTCATGTTGTTGTGGACTTATAACATGGAGATGAAAAAGGAGTAGCTCCTCCTTGAGTCCCAGCAAATTGGGACTTGCTTCAAAATAGATTAGGACTTTTCAGGTTACGTATGAGCATAAATGGTGCAGAGAAAAGAAATAGGAATTTACTAGTTACCATTCCTCATGATATTAGAACTAGGGAACATACAATGAAATTATTAAGAAGGAGGTTTAAAACAAAAAGAAAAGAAATCACACAGCTTGCAATTAACTTGTGCAACTGATTACCACAAGATGTTGTAGAGGCTGGTAAGTCAACCAAATTCATAAGAGAATTGGACAAATTTATGCAGGGTAGGTCTGTCAGTGGAAACTAAGCATGATAATTAGGGTTGCACTTCCAAATTAGGACTTTCTAGGCCCTGTGTTTATAGTCTTCCCCTTAGCATCCACTCTGCCACTGGGTACTGCATTACATGGACCTGTGGTCTGATGCAGTAGGGCACTTATGTTCTTTATGTCTCTTCTCTTTTGTTGACCTCCTATTTTTTGTGTTCTGATCTCTTTTTTTTCTTCTCTTAATCTCTGATCACCATTCCTAACTTCTCTGATATAATGTTTCTTCCTTATTTTCTTGTTACCGATCTGCATATCTCTTCCCTTCCTAGCTCAAAATTGTATTTCTATGGTCTCCTGGGTACACTGTATATGAAAGATTCATTAATTTTCCTTAAAGAAAAAGAAAAGGACTCCCAAGATAAAGAAATTAAATGAAACACACCTCTCCTCATGTAAGTAACCAGTGGGCTGTGATACAGATCAGGTAATCCACAGTTAACATGATGCTAATCTAAACTCCTGTGGTTGTGGAAAGACAGTGATGCTGTGAGAGCAGCTGATGAATGACAACCTTCACTTTAGCTTTGCTTAATTTATCAGTATGTATCATAGCTTTGCTATTATTCAAACACAGTTGATTTTTGATGTACTAGAGAATACATTTCTTTGCTTCTCTAATTCACCTTTATCAGGAAGAGATTATGTTGTGCTTTTACTATTCTGTTTGCAACCATTCCAGCTCAACATAATCTATGACTCTTACACCAAAGTTACTAAACTTTTTGGCTAAGTACAGAGATTCAAAAAGCCTGAGCCTGAATTGATTCAGTCTTTTCAGGTTAGTCTGTGTAAATTGAACTGGCAAGCAAGTGAATAGATATTCACTTTTGATTCCAGAAATGCAAGCACATGCTTGCAGTGGCTCCGGCCAGAAGCCAGGGGGTGCTAAAGTGAGCCCTCCCTTCCCTTAGGTAGTGGCTGGGCTGGAGGGAAGCTGAGCAGGGGGGGAGGGTGGGAGTGTGTAGTCAGGCCCCAGCAGGCCTGAGTATGATTGGGGAAGGGTTTAAACCCTGACCCTGGTCTGTAAGGACCCCAGCCAGGGTGTGCCTGGAGGGGGAGGGCAGAAGCAGCCCTTACCAGGCTTTTCTATGAGGGAGGAAGGAGCATGGCCAATCCCAGGCCCCCAGCCAGATGCCAGCCTGGAATACCCCCTAAGGTGAAGGGGGGAAGGAGGAGGTTTATTTCCCCTTCCTTTCCCTCTCCCCACTAACCCCAGCTGGAGTCTGCCTGACTGGGGCACAGTAGCCCTTTCAGGGTCCCTCCCTCCTTGCTGCTTGGGGTGGGGGGCATGGCCAGATGCTGGCTGGCATGGTCCCCTAAAGCAAAGGGGACAGGGAGGGGTTTATTCCCCTCTCTGTTCTCTCTCCCACTGTGGGGTCATAGCAGGGATATGACATCCCTGGCTGCCACCTCTGCTGCTTGCCCCTGGCCAGGCAAACCCCGGCTGGGGTCCCCTGGGGAGAGAAGGGGGGAGGGGGAAATAAACCCCAAATGAAACTAGCATCACAAATGAAAAGGACCTGGGGGTAATAATAGACCACAGTACAGATATGAGCCGGCAGTGCGATGCTGAAGCCAGTAGGGCAAATATTACTTTGGTATACATCAATTAATGCATCTCCAGCAAAACCAAGGAGGTGATTCTTCTGCTTTACGAGGAAAGTCTGAGGGTTCTGGGACTCTTTAGCCTGAGGAAAAGAAGTCTGAGTGGGGACCTGGTAACAGCTTACCGCTACACTAGGGGGTACATCAAGGGCTCGGTGAGCAACTGTTCACAGGGCACCAGAGGGGAAAACCAGGAGTAATGGCCACAAACTCCTGGAAGATGGATTCAGGCTCAACATTCAACATAGGAAAAACTTCTTTACAGTTAGGGTGTCTAGACTGTGGAATAAGCTTCCTCCAGACATGAACGGCATGTGCCCCCAGTGGCTGGGTTTTGGGGCATGGCTGTGCTGGCAGTGGCAGAAGCGCATTGGTGGGAGCCCAGCAGCAGTAACCTGGGAACTCCTGCGGAGGCTACTGGCCTCTGACGGTGGTGAGTGCCATCCAAGGGTCGGGGGTCAGCAGTGATCACGGACTGCCCGCAGACGCTGCCAATGGTGTCAGCGGCGGGGTGGTGAGCAGCAACCACCCACAGGCACCACCAACAGTGTCAGCAGTGCCCTTTTGTAGGAGGTGCGCTGCCATGCTCAGGAGGTGCCTGTGAACCCACATTCACCCCCCTACACATTGTCCCTGCCTCCTGAAGTGGTGCAGTCACCTATCCTGGAAATATTCAAGAGGAAACTAGATCTTGTTGGGGTCACCTGACCCCCAGTTGTCTTTCTGGTTTGGTGCAGGAGGCTGGACCCAATGATCTTCTGAGGTCCCTTCCAGCCTTACAATTTATGAATCTGTGAACCCCCTCCCTGCCTGCTTCACATCAGGGGACAATGCCAGCTGGTGTTTGGCCATGCCCCCACCCCTGCCATTGCAGTAGCAATGGGAGAGAGACCCTGACAGCAGCAACAGCCCCTGTCATGGTGTCCCAGGGAACAAGAGCCTCTTCCTGGTGGGGGGGTTGCTCTGTGGTGGGGAGTGGGGCGAGCAGAGCTGCTGCAGCCTGTGTGGGACAAGCAGCAGTGATGGGGCTTGGAGGGGTGGCTATGGGGGTGAAACCAAATTTTGGGGTAGCCATAGTCATCCAAACTGCCCTAGCACTGCTGCCACTCATCCCACACTGTCTGCAGCAGCTCTGCCCCCTTTGCTGCTGCCTGCAGTGCAGCCCCTGCACTGGGAAGAGGCTTGGCACTCCCCAGAACACCATGACAGGGGCTGCTGCCCTGTCAGGGTCCCTCCCACCTTGCTGCTCCAGGGCTGGGGCATGGCCAGACACTGGCCAGCATGGCCCCCTGAGATGAAGGGGGCATGGAAGAGGTTTACTCCCCACTCTCTCCCCTCCCCCCATGGGGGACCCCAGCTGGGGTCTGCCTGGCCGGGGGCAAGTGTCAGAGGTGGCAGCTGAGACTGGAAGACCCTGATTGCAGTCCCGCAGTGGGAGAGGGGACGGAGAGGGGAATTAACCCACTCCCTGTCCCTTTGCCTCGGGGGGCCATGCTGGGCTGGTTTCTGGCCACATCCCCCCCTGTTCCAGCTACAGGGCAGCCCAGCCCAGGGATGAAAAGCATGCTGGGATGCTAGCGGACTCCAATTTAACTTAAACCAGGAAGGAGTCTGGGACAGAAGCTCCACAAACTGGTTTGACCTCAATCACAGCGCAGGGTGTCAAGGGCCTGCAGCAAGGCGGTAGCCCTAGACTTCAAGAGGGCCAGCTTCAACAAGTTGAGGAGATTAGTGGGAGAGGTGCTGGAGTTCTCGAGAGCAGGGGAACTCAGTGCCCAAGATGAGTGGTCATTCCTTAAGGAGACGATACTCAAGGCCCAAGGGGTGACCATCCCAAAAAGAAGCAAGCGGGGGCAGGAGTCTATCTCCAAAGAGGAGTATACCTACTCTGCTCAGGCCTGTAGGGGGGCTGTCAGGAAAGCTTATGCGGACAAAGAGCTAGGACTAGCATCCAAAATCAAAGATAATAAGTCCTTTTTCAAATATATAGGGAGGATGAAAAAAGCACCGGGAAATGTGGGGCCCCTACAAGATTCTCTGGGCAATCTGGTGGTTGCGCCAGAAGAGAAAGCAGACTCTTTAACCAATTCTTCACCTCCGTTTTCTTGTGCAGGGACCAAGACTTCCCCACCATGATGCAAGACGGACTCGAGGGGAACGCCTCCAGACCTGAGGTTGGGGAGGACCGGGTTAGAGAGCTTCTGGAGGGGCTGGATGTGTTCAAATCAGCAGGTCTAGATGCTCTCCACCCCAGGGTGTTGAGGGAGCTAGC